CCAAAACTGAAACATGATAAAAGTAACATAAGTTAAGTAAAATACCATACTAAAATGACACAAAAACCTAGTAAAATGGGCCCGAATAAGTGCACAAAAATGCACTTATCATACCACATCAGCTTTTGCCTCTATAATTCTAGAAGAGTTGAGTCTTCAACGTTCTGCCTAAGTATTTAGCTTTATCACTTTAAAAAGTTCGATCCGCTGATCCGAATTTCGTGATTGAGGTGCTTCTTTCTTTGAAATGAAGTTCCATTTACACAATTACTCGATACCATTAGCACTATAGAGGACATGTCTTATATTCATAGTACTCAGATTATGTATTTGTATTTAACATAATTTTTTCTTATTTTTTGAATATTAGCAACAACAGTAAATCCCGTGAATCATTTAGGTCAAAATAAACAGCTATAAATAATTGATTATCTTACGCCTAATCACGACAGAAGAAATAATTCACATTAGAACAAAAGGGCTGATCGAAAGCAACAAAGACTAGAAAACAAAATCAACACATGTTCTAGATAAGAATTAATCATCTGGTCAACCATCAAATAAGATTAAGCCATAATCCCTGATGAGCACTGGAATCATAAGTTCCAAAAGGCAGGTCCCCAACAAGCAGCGGCCGCCGGCCGCTTGGCACAGCATGCCGCGGCTCAACAATGCACAAACATCTCATCCAGAGTGATGGGCGAAGTAGTGTCATGGCCATGAACAATTTGCCCTCATATTTTCTAATAAGCCAAAAAAAAAATAAAAAAAATTGACAAAGTATCTTCTCATTTCAAAGTATATTAGTAGAATATTTTGACCAAGAGCTTGTTTGGGAGAGATTTTTGGCAGAAAAATTGATTTTGAATAGTGATATGATGGGAAATGTGTGGTTGAAAAAGAAGAAAAAAATTATTGATGTGATGGAAAATATTATTTTATTGAAGAATGTGTGGTTGAAAATGAGAATTGATTTACTGTAGTANTCCCTCCCAAACAGGGCCTAAAACTGTCATTAGGAATAAAATGTGCAAATTAATTGAAGGTTAATAACAAGAATACCACAATTTTTTTATTGAGTACAGCTACACGTACAGAAACATTTGCCAGGAAAATTACAGGAATTTGAAAAAGCTGAGCTGGCAGTTGGAAGTCAAAACTAATAATGAAAGAATGGAAAGAAAAGGATGAAACAAATATGAAAATACATAAAGAAATGAAAAATGCTTTATTGGGGCTCAAAACCCGGCAATTCTCACCATTTCCCCCAAATAATTCCCACCATTCCACCACTTATTTTAACGCCATCTCCGGCAAACATACCCTATTTTCCGACCCAATAAAACCTCCGATCAATTATTTTAAGGAAAATAAGAGCCTGACATTTCCTTTTCCTTTCCCATTCTTGCACCACCGTCCTTTGATCATAAGCTCCGGCCCGAACTCAAATCGCAAGAAACTTTGGATTGTAAAGCCTCTGTCACAAATTCTGCACATTTGGATTCCAATAGCCCAAGTAATAACACAGAGAAGCAGGTTGGGAAGGTGAGCTCGCAGCAGTAGATAGAGTTAAAGTCAGAAGGAGAAATTGCGGAAACTGTGGCATGTAAAGTCCTTGTAACAACTTCTGCGCATTTGGATTCCGAGCACAATGCAATTAATAGTGAGGAGGAGAATACGAAGACAAAGTTGGATTCTGATGAAATGGAAAATCAGAAGTGTAACACCACATTTAGCAACAAATTAGTAATTCTTCTGGTGATATTGAGAAAGATATTAGTGGTCTGAAAAAATTGAGAAAGATCTTCTCAATAACCACAAGTTTTTGCTGTCGTTTGAACCGTAGCTTTTAGATGACATAGAATGTGTACGAAGGTGTTTGTGCAATTCTTGTTCAGCATCTCATTCAACTGAAAAAATAATAAAAATTTCCCGAATATGGCAAAAATAAGCAGTTAAAAAATGATACAAATTTCAAAAGCAAAACGAGGGTCCAATGGATACTTGAGGCAAGCAAACCATAGATTAGGGAAATGAAGTAGAATATTAAAATTACAAAGAACACCGATAATCTAAGAGCAAATTCTTGCACATAAGATGCTAATATGTTTCCATCTTACATAATCACGGACAAAAAATAAAATAAAAACAGCTCTAGTAGCATTCTTTCGAGCTTATTTTCTTCATTGCTCTGTGGCCGACCAACTCTTTCACAATTTTTTGAAACACTATCGAATTGAATTTATTAGAGACTATATGCGATGAAGATTGCAGATTATGGCTATAAAAACGTTGGCATTAAGGAACATTCAATGGCTTAGCCTCGGCATCTCTTTCCTTCAACATAGCCAATCTTCTGATTCTGTAACCGAAATGGGAGTGCAAATTGGAGGAGCTAATATTTGGATTCCAGAATGGTAGTGCTTCTTTCCATCCCCACCACACCTAAAAGGACTCGTGTGACAACTCAAGGTTGGCCATTTAAACCCAAACCTGTGTAGTGTAGAAGGCAGTTTCAGTTCGGGTGCTCGCTTGTATGATCTTCATGGGCACCGATCGACGGCAATGGTGACTGCCGCAGCCGGTTTGAGTTCGGGTCGGAGCTTATGATCAAAGGACGGAGGTGCAAGAATGGGAAAGGAAAAGGAAATGTCAGGCTCTTATTTTCCTTAAAATAATTGATCGGAGGTTTTATTTGGTCGGAAAAAAGGGTATGTTGGCCGGAGATGGGAATAAAATGAGTGGCGGAATGGTGGGAATTATTCGGGGGAAAACGGAAATGGCGAGAGTTGCCCGGTTCTGAGCCCCAATAAAGCCTTTTTCATTTCTTTATGTTTTTTCATCTGTTAAATCCTTTTCTTTCCATTCTTTCATTATTAGTTTTGACTTCCAACTGCCAGCTCAGCTTTTTCAAATTCCTGTAATTTTCCTGGCAAATGTTTTTGTACTTACAGCTTTACTCTTTTTTATTTTTGACATAAATGCGACAAAGAGCAAATATTGTAACCTTCACGCAGTTAAAACTAAGGAAAACCATAGTTTTCAGAGCCCATCTGGATGCTGACTCCATCGAAGTTCTGGTCGATGGGTCATGATTCAACCAATGAGTGAATGTCAGATCAAAATTCTAGCTATATTATGAAAATAAATATATGACTATTTACATATTACTACTATAAATAAAAATAATATGTTTTGTTACTCAAAAAATGAATTTCAAATCATTTTTCATTATTTTAAGTCAAAAGTTAAAAAATTACTTATGAGTTTAAAGTCCAATATTCTTTTGAACATTTCAGATATAGCCATCATTTTGCTGCTTTTGAATCTATCAGATACAGCAAAAAAAAACTTCTCTTTTCTGTATTTTCAATGAATCCGTACAGGTAAAGTCTGGTAAAGATCCTATAATCAAGCCATACTCTTGCAATGAAGCTAATCAAGTTATACAATGAATCTATGCACTCTCTACAGTAGGAAAGAATGATAACTACTTGACAATCAACCCAATATTTCAAGATTTACCTCTCAGCAAAATTCTCTATTTTCACGCCTCAAGTAGAACAGTTACTACAATAACATCAATGGTCGAAACTACCACCAACGGCGGCGGAGGTGAACACGTCACTGGCGATTGGTTCTCCGTGCCGGAACTCCGACTCCGCGACCATCACTTTACCGTTCCTCTTGACTACTCTCTCGACAACCGCACTTGCCCTAAGATCTCCGTTTTCGCCCGTGAGATGGTCTCTGGTAATTCGTTACTTACTTTGCTAAAGCTGCTATTTTTTCTTTGATTTTGGATTAATTGTTCATAATTTGGTATTTAATGACTAATATTTATACGGTTGGTCATCAAACTTTCAAAACGTGTGACTTTGGTCATGGAACCTTGTTTTTGGCATAGTTGGCTTCTGAATTTACAAACTTGTTTAAATTAAGCCACTATCTAGGTATTTATCCATAAGTCGATTTAATGAACTTGGTATTGTGTTAAATGGTGAAAAATTAAATGATGATGGATTAAAGAATTGATCAAATTTATATTTAAAATTGCGTTTTCTCTGCGTTAAGTTAATAAAGCAATGGGTTAAAGTGAAAAGTTAAAAACATTTAGATTAGTGTTATGAAATCAAATTGCACGTGGAAGTGGTATTTTTAGTCACCAAGGTCGTCAGCCTAATAAGTAACGTCGCCACACCTCCTCAACAAAATCGTTAAATTTAATAAAGGATGTGTCACAACTTCGGTGACCATCTATGCTAAAAAATGTTCAATGATATAATTACAAGTTATGTAAAGTTGTGTGACCTACGAAGTTTTTAATCTAATTTTTGTATGTACACCTAAGGGTGGCAATGGGCAGAGCCGAGCCGAGCCGGCTCGGTCCAATCCGAGCTCATGGCTCGTTCCGAGTCGTGCTTCGACTTGCGAGCTTGTATTTTTTTTATATAGATAAAATACTCATCCTTTATTCGGGCTCGGAATTGGATACTTAAATTTTGAATAAGCTGATTAAAAAATTGTACAAGAACAACTTGTTACGTTCATTTTTTTAAAAAAATAAAAATAGTATTATAAAATGAATTTTTTTATTAATATGGTTAAATTAAATATTACTTACACGACGATATGCAATTTCGGCACATTTATTTTACAGTTGAAAATAAGCGTCTTGCCAATTCTTTAAACACATTAATACTTTCAAAATATCTTCTTTCAGTCGGCTTTTGACCTCATATAGAACTCTCTTACTTGCATTTAAAGCAGACACCGAAGCTACAGTGCTAACCGGATGTATTAGTATTTCTTTTGTAATAGCAGAGAACACTGGCTATCTTCGTTTGTACTTTCACTAGAATTCAATTACTTTTTCTGAACTATTTTAATCGTTTTATTATTAGGCATATTATGATTAAAGTAATCAAGTAATTCAGCATGCAATGCATTTGATGTCTGATTACATGTAGTAGACATACTACCACTAGAAGTACCTATTGCATCATATCTATACGTATTAATGCCTTCAAATAAGTTTAATATTTCAGCGTCGTTTTCTTCAATATCAGCGGGAGTAGATGTAGAGGGTATTGACTAATATTTACACTCATTCGTTCTGCATATAATTCATACATTTCACATAAATTTTGTTTTAACTTTCTATAAGTGAAGATGTATTAAAAGTTAAAATTTTTGAAATTTGATCAATTACATATTTAGTACTTGATAAATTGTATCGAGGTTTATGATGCATGCTAAAGGAAATAACATAGGCAAGTCTTCCCAATATTTTCTAAACTTTAATTCTATAGAATATATAATCTCACTAAAATAGGGGTCATTTTTTTATTTATGAAAATCTCTTACAATTATATAAAAACATTCAAGCACCATATAACTAAGGGGATAGTAAAAATTCAGCTATGAAATATTCAAATCCTTTGCATGTAAGTGGAGTTCCATCTATGCCCTATGTTACTAACAAATGTTTTCGTATTCATCATCCTAAATTTGGTACAAAATTCAAAAACTTGTTTTCTATTAGGTGAAATCGTGATATATAATAATACATTTCTAATTCTTTGAATTTCATTCTTAATATGTTTCAAACCAAAATACACAATTAAATTAAAAATATGACTTACACAACGAATATGAAATAAATAAACACCAAAATCGGGCTGCAGCATTCTACATAATTTAATAAAACGACCACTTTTGATAATTCAGTGACGGTTTGCAAAATGTCACCGAACTATAACAGTGACCAAAGCGTGTAGGTGAGCCTCGGGCTTACCTCACGAGCAGCTCGTCCGTAGGTGAGCTGGCCTGCTCGGCTAGGGCTCGGGCTTGTCAAATTACGAGCCCGAGCCGTCTACGAGCCGTATTTTACAAAGAGAAGAGATTTGATTATTAGAGAGATAAATATCAGTTTATTCAATAATTAAGACTAACTATTATAATAATAAGAAGAAGAATATTAGGATTCCAAAGGAAGACATAAATGTATTACAAGAATTTTATGAGGATCGTAAAAACTCTCTCTATTTCAGACACCACATGATTACTCCACTAAATGGTACTCTGTATTTCCTAATGAGCATTTACTTGGTGTAAGTGACTCATTTGTAGTGAAATAAAAGACCTTCTAATAGACAAAGATAGGATAATTAAGTCATTCATTCAAGAATTCTAACTATATTCTTCATAGCCAGCTGCAGTTTGGATAAAGGATGATAATTGTGGAAGATTGACATCGAACATAAAATTTTCAAACCTTATACCTACATTTCTACGTATTCACATACACAATTGCTGGTGTTGTGCTCGATTTTCTAGAAATACGATCAAAATGTATCATACAAACCTTTGTTGGTGTGTGTTTAAAAGGAACATTGCATTTAAAGTTCCTAATCTATATATACACGAGCACTTGAGCCTTCTTTCAATTTCTTTTTCTTTCTGACGAACAGAGTCCCAATCTTCAATTTTTGTAGCAAGTGGATGCCTAGATAGTAGAGACCGATTCTGTCCAAGAGGACCCTGAAAACATCATGGGATTGGACTATGGATGATATAGGCACATTTTTGTTTTACACTCGTATATAAACCTTTTTGCAACTTGAGATTTGATTACGTCAGGAATAGCATTGATATACTGGAAAGGAATTGTCTGTATGGTGTCTGGTTCTTTTGTAGATGCATATACAGAGGCACTCTATCATGTTTATGTGTTGACTCTGGTGAAAACTCCGTTATCTATAAAATTACAGTAGCTTGGTGAAAACAGATATGTTTTATACTATGCGTTCTAGTACGAAAAATCATGTTGTGGGGTACATGATTTTCTCCCTCTATTCAAATTTGGTTTCTTTTGACCTCTTAAAACTTAACTAATGAATGGATGGTATGCTCTGCAGTTGGAAAGGAAGAACAGTCCCTCCCATATTTATTGTACTTGCAGGGTGGACCAGGGTTTGAGTGCAAGCGACCTACTGAGGCTGGTGGATGGATAAGTAAAGCATGCGAGGAATACCGTGTTATTCTAATGGACCAGGCATGTTGTTTCGAAGTACTTTTGAGGTTCAAGAGCATGTAGAAATTTCTGCATCTATCTAATCTTTTGTGGGTTTATGGCACGGAGAGGAACAGGCTTATCAACACCCTTAACTCCATCATCTATGTCTCAATTCAAATCCGCAGAGGATTTGGCGGACTACTTGAAACATTTCCGAGCTGACAACATAGTGAATGATGCTGAATTCATTCGCAAACGTCTTGTTATCGATTCTGGACCTTGGACGGTCCTGGGACAGGTAAATTCGTTTTATATTTCATCGTCTTTTACGTGTGTTTTTTAAGTTTGATATTTTGATGTTTTTTATGTTGATTTTGACACAAAAGTTTGACAATCTTGCTGCACCTCTATCTTCCTTGACATCTCGCCCATTCTCAAATGCAGAGATAGGGATTCATGGAAAGAAAGTCTAATGCTCTTTTTATATGTTTATAGCGAATTTCACTTATAAATTTCCACATGATGCATGGTTATTTTCCGTTGATTATGTGAATTGTGTCAAAATGGCTATGTTGATAGAGTTCATCTCCTGCAGAGTTATGGGGGGTTTTGTGCAGTTACTTACCTGAGTTTCGCTCCACAAGGTCTGAAACAAGTCCTTTTGACTGGTGGAATCCCTCCAATTGGAAACGGATGTAATGCTGATGCCGTATACCGAGCGTGCATTGATCAGATTGTTATTCAGAATGAAAAGTATTACCAGAGGTTTCCTCAAGATATTGAAATTGTCCGCGAAGTGGTAAATCACCTAGCAGAATCTGAAGGAGGCGGGGTGAGCAGACTTTATACGGCGATTTTTTTTCCCTTTTGACTTCAGTGATTATTTTAAGTGATCGAAAACTTAATCTCTCTCTCTCTCTCTCTCTCCCCCACTTTCCACTGTGTTTGTTCTTGCACATGTAGGTGCCTCTTCCATCTGGTGGTATCTTAACACCACGGGGACTACAAATTCTCGGTGTGTCTGCTTTTGGTTTCACTGGCTTTGAAAGTTTGCACTACATGTAAATCCGTTTCCATCTTACCAGTCAAATATATATATCTGTTATTATCTTAGATTAGTCAGTCACTTCATTTTTCTGTCACTTTTAGGTTTGAGAGGGTCTGGGATCCTGTACTAGTTCCCGGAGCACCAAAGAAACTTAGCTACTACTTTTTGAATGATGTAAGAAACATTTTTTTATTAGTCAACACAAATACATGTTTGAGACCTCATATTCTCTGGAATATAAATACTAAGTCTTGGCAACATGGAAATTGAAATCGTGAAATTTCAAGATATTGCTTAAAGAAAGGTCAATGCTGTTTTCTGCTACCTTGCTTTCCATTCGTAAAAAAACAACAAAAAATCTCAAGATGCATCTCTTGACGGGCCTTGTGTTCCATAAAGTCATTATGAAATAATATGACACTTTTAGTACGTCAAAGGGAGTTTGAACTTCGAGATCTTATCATGTTCTTGTTTTTGCCACATAGATGATATGACATCTACTGATGAACCTACATATGAAAGGGCGGTCATGTACACAAAAATTGAACATCTGGTTAATACAAATATATTGCAATGTTCGAAAAGAATATCTGAATGAACTGTTTGATTGTCTTCCATTTTTTAAGCAGTGTTTATATGGCAAATGAGGTGATGGTCATTTAGGAATTAGGATTCTTCTCTATAAATTTGCGCCACAATTTACTGACACCGAGTTTTATAACTATGCAGTATGAAAGATGGTTGAGTTTGGATACAAATCGTCTGTATGTTCTTATGCACGAGTCTATTTATTGTCAGGTAAATTTGTTTTCTGCTGGCATTTACTGAAACCATATGAAAAAAAGAGTTTCTAGTTGAATCCACATGATTATTCTGTGTTTTTTTTTCCGGAAGATATCACCTGTAAATATATAGATGTACCACATATGCTTACGTGTGTGTTCACATCCCCCTTGTGTATATGCATTTCTCGTACTATCGTTAAGTAACTTCTTGATTTATGTAAATTGAAGGGCGCTCCTTCACTTTGGTCTGTTACAAAATAGAGATAGTACAA